TCCGCTCTCCCTGACGTGGCACCTAGCGACGCCACCGCCACTGAGAGGGCCCCTGGGAGTGTTGCTATCCCTGGAAGAGCTCCTTGGGGCGCCGACGTCCCTTGCAGTTCCCCTGGGAGCACTGCTGTCCCATGGAGTGCCCCTATAATTGTCGATTTTCCTTAGAGAGCTCCTGAGGGAGCTACCGCCCCTGGCAGGGGCCCTGGGGGCGCCAGCACCCCTGGCAGGGCTTCTACGGGCAGAACCCCTGGCAGGGCCCTGTTGGCGCCAACGCCTCTGGCACGGCCCATGGGGGCGCTACCATCCCTGGGAGGGTCCCCGATAGCGCCGCTGTTCCTAGGAGTGCCCCTGGGGCGCTATCCACTGACCGAGTATCGTCCTCATAATTATCTGGGGGTTGGCGACCACAGTCCTCCACTCTAAACGTTTTGGGTTCTTTTTACCGATGCTACAACATTTTAAATCTCTTCGGGGATATAGTTTTTAGTTTCAGTCAGCCATCCTAGTCTTTGCCTTCCGCTAGCAGACACGCGGAGGAGAGAGAAGAAGAAGGAGATTTAAGGTGTAATAAGAGTCGTCCCATCATTGACCGATTTAATGGACACCAATGACGTGTTGCGGAACTTTCAGCATAATTACGACATATCACATTGACGTGGTTATATTGAAGTGCAGAGAATGTTATGTACAAGTTTTATCTCGGATGACCTGAAGATTAGGCACCCCAAGCTTATTTCAACTCAAGATTAGTTAATTTAATGCTACTTAGGGATGATTAGATTAGGTTAGCGTGAGGTTAGGTTAGACTGATTAAGTTAGGTTAGGTTAGGGTGGTTAATCTTCAGGTGATCCGTCACACCTCAGTTATCTCAAAGGTATACTGGCGCCTCACACACACACACAGGTAAGATGGAAACAAAAAGTAGAACACTGGCTACTCTTGAGCGGCAGGTGTTGTAAATACTTAAATAATCCAGAAACAATTTATATATCTACAGGTTAATACAGGTTAATACAGGTCTCTCAAAGTGACACAAATATAACCTTAAGGAAACAGGATTATTCTAAGGTTAATAGAATCACTGAGTATATTTTTCTTCTTCACTATTTCATATCTTTCACATCTCTACCACACATCTCGTCATTTAAAATTTTATTCTATTTAACTTCAAGAGAAAATATCAAAATTACAAAAGACCAAAATAAAAAATAGTTATAAGAAAATACATATCACGTTTTTGCTTCACATCTCATTTTCTCTGTTTATCCTCCTATATTTGTTTCTACACTTGATTTGATTTCTTCATACATTCCTATTTCCTTCACTTGACATATTCTACGCATTTTATTTTTCTTCACTTACCATTTTCTATGTATGGTGAATCTTCTATATACATTTCTCTTCCTCTACACTACTGTTTTGGTTCTCTCAAAGACACGAAGTATAAGATTTTGATTTTGATTCACAGTACCACATATGTTCCTTATTTCTTCTTGATATATAAAAGTATAGTCCTCGGTAGCTTAAAAATATATATAGTTTTTATTTCATTCGACACAAAATCTTTCATTCTGTTTTGTCTGACTTGAGGTAGTTACCGATGGTTGGCTATTGAGGAGGAGAAGCTAAGGGTCTTCTTGCTGAGAGTAAGACGTGAACCCGAACACCGAACGTTACATCCTTGTTCTTATGTTCAACCATTTCTAAGGGCGACAAAAAAAAAGTTCTCTCGATACAAAAGTTTCTTAACACATCCAAAAAACAACACTATATTTTCTTATTTCTGCACAACAGTTTCATGTTGGTCGTGAACAAGACACCGTGTGGAAATCTGAAGAAGAAAAAAAAAATCATATACTGTCTCTAAACATATCTAAAAGTAAAAAACAAACTAAAAACAATCAATGGATCACTTCTCCAAAAGACAGAGACAAATGTAATCTTAACACTACGAGAAACAAACAGCAAATCGTCATATCCTCAATACCATCTTCACCAAATCGTAGCTAAAAATTTTCCCTTATACAATAATACACCCTGACACATTATGATATATATATACCCTGATATACCGCACAAATATATAGACTGTATATATAAATAAATGACTCTTACACACAGACACACATACATACACTCACAAACACACATACATACACTCAAACACACACTCCTCCGTAAAATATTTATAGTCCATTTAAAACAAAAGACTATCTAGATTTGTTTGCATGACTTGTCGTCTCTGGGGCGTCATTATTATCGTTTATCAGATGTTATGGGGAGGGAGGGTGAGGGAGATTGTGGTGGTTAGGGGTAATGGATGAAGGGAGGGAGGGTGAGGGAGATTGTGGTGGTTAGGGGTAATGGATGAAGGGAGGGAGGGTGAGGGAGATTGTGGTGGTTAGGGGTAATGGATGAAGGGAGGGAGGGTGAGGGAGATTGTGGTGGTTAGGGGTAATGGATGAAGGGAGAGAGAGATTTTGGTTGGAAGGGAAGAGGGGTAATAAATGCCTAAATAGAATACGAAGGACTAGATGAAAGAGAAGTGGAGAAGGTGAGAAGGAGGAGGAGCAGAACCAATAAAAAGAGAAAGAAGAAGGACAGATGAATAAAAAGGACAGACAAAAAAGAGAAAATTAGCATAAATAAGAGAAAGGTAAAAAAGAATATAAATAATAACAGAGACAAAACAGAACAAGGAAAGGACCAGAAAGAGAAAGGGAAGGAAAGCAGACGTAGAAATATAACGAACAAAAATTCACACTGTCACCAAACACTCATCATCGTATCCATGATGTTCGTACAACAGATAATGGCAACCAAGCCCTTTTATGTTCCATTCAAGGTGTCAAATGAGTCACTTTATCTAGAAAACGGTAGATACGGGTGGTTGAGGGGGGATAACTACGTCTTTACTGATACACGGCACAAAAAATGCCCAACAATATTTGACGTGGTTAATAACGGAATGAATTTGGTACTGAATATAATCTAACATGACTTAACGTGATGTGAAATTTACATGACTTGTAATGAGCTTAAGATGACCTAAACTGTCTTATTGTAATGTCACTCAGAGCAAGAATTAACGGTGTTAATAACTGACGTGATTTAACATAACTTAACATGGTTGCTACTGGTTACTAATACTATTTTTAAATAATAATAATAATAATAATATTAACATAATAATAATAATAATAATGTTTACTTCTATATACAAATCACACACACACACACACACACACACACACACACACACACACACACACACACACACACACACACACACACACACACACACACACACACACACACACACACACACACACACACACACACACACACACACCGTCAATACAGATGTTATAACAGCTGCACTCATCAACTGTATTCTTGTAATATATGTGGCAAGGTTTTTTACGAACTTATTACTTAAAGAAGACCAGGATGATGACTTGTATCAGTAGTAAATTCCGTAAACAACTCCAGATTGAACAAAAATTTCAACTCACAAAATATTACAGTTACCCCGACCACTGTCTTAGTAAATCCCGTTTTCTTTAGACTACAAGACCTTTCATTTTTATACAGCAAATACCTTAAGTTACAAAACTAATATAATCGTGTATGAAGTACAATATGAAACATACAGTTGTATTCACCTAAGTGGCTGTATAGATCATCTCACAGCAGATATCGTTAACAACAAACGGGATAAACCATCTCTGATTCCAACCATCCTACAGTAGTATCCCCTTCACTGCACCATGGGTCTTGAGGACGCGGGGAAGACAAGAGAAAACACTAGAGATCGAGGCGCTGAGGTTTCAAGGACTTGGAGGCAACGTTAAAAGAACATCTGATCCCGGTCTGTGTCTCACCTGTGTTGACGCTGGTCCACCACAACGCCACGAATACTCCCTATCAACAAGCATCCAGCTGTGACGTCACTTCCCTCTTCAAGGGATACGAACCTATTTGTCAATGTCGTATGTGAATTGCTCCCGACTTATTCATTGTTTTTTACTGGGGTGGTTCATTCTTCAGGTGATCTCACACTTGTCTCTTCACACACACACACACACACACACACACACATTACTCTAATCGAAAAGAAAACTACAACATATGAACCTAACCTAACCCTTAAAAATTATTAAAATTTTCGAAAAAAGGTCAATAATATCATCGGTATTTTATGCTTCCGTACGATAATGACCTTAAGGCATTATTACGTCTATGTTAGTGTGGTCACCTCATCCGCCTCTTCCACACCTCCCTCACCACACCTCCCTCATCACACCTCTCATAACACCTCCCTCATCACACCTCTCATCACACCTCCCTAACCACACCTCCCTCACCTGCCTCCCTCACACCACACACCTCCCTCTCACCCACACACCTCTCCCTCATCACACCTCTCACCACACCTCCCTCCACCACCTCCCTCACATCACACCTCCTCATCACACCTCACCACACCTCCCTCATCCACCTCCCTCACCACACCTCCCTCTCACCCACACCTCCCCTAACCACACCTCCCTAACCACACACCTCCCTCACCACACCTCCCTCACCACACCTCCCTCACCACCTCCCCTCACCACACCTCCCCTCATCACACCTCCCTCACCACACCTCCCTCACCACACCCCTCCCTCTTACACCTCCTCACCCCACACACCTCCCTCATCACACCTCCCTAACCACCTCCCTCACCACCTCCTCCACCACCTCCCTCACCACACCTCCCTCACCACACCTCCCTAACCACACCTCCCTCACCACACCTCCCTCATCACACCTCTCATAACACCTCCCTCATCACACCTCTCATCACACCTCCCTAACCACACCTCCCTCACCACACCTGTCATAACACCTCCCTCATCACACCTCTCATCACACCTCCCTAACCACACCTCCCTCACCACACCTCCCTCACCACACCTCCCTCACCACACCTCCCTCATCACCTCACCACACAAAACACCAGACATCATGAGCTAAAGTAACAAATATCAGTTGGTTTATAATCTATGTACAATGGCATTCACAACTGGTCGATTTAAATGGTAAAAAACAATTGTATTTGAGTGTTTTAAAGAGCCTGCTGACACCCGTGTTTGGATGTTTGTCAATGCAAATATAAACTAACAAACATTAAAATACCGTACAGAAATATATACTCTACTTAACAAATGTTGGTTGAGATAGTGTGAATGTTCGTATTATAAGAGCAACATTGTCCTCACCTGTGGGAGACCTCGAACGTCAACAAGCCAGGAGGACAATGTTCCTGGTTTAACACATTCACATCATCTCCACGCAAATCTGTCAGGCAATATGTATTTATATTTCTGAGACACCCTGTATGTATTATCTGTCATTCATTTGTATAAACAGACAGACACACACTCAGGTTCCTATACATATTATCATGTATTTGAATCCATCATCTCAGGATTAATCTTTGTTGTGATAAAAATTTCATCTTACAATAGATCTCTCAGCTGTACGTGACTCAGCTCTACCGTCCTCAGCAAACAGTACAGGGTAGAGAAGCTGAGTAACTATATTCTAACTGAAATTTAATTAATCTGTTGATATTGCTTTAAAAAAAGTAGTATTGAATGTTTTGATCTGGTTAGGTGTTTCAATTAACGACCGGCAACCATCCTACTGCCACCCCAGGAGGAAACAGCTGCTGAGGACGTCATGAGCAGTTGGTATTGAGTGATTAAGTTTATGATGTTGTTAGAGAGTAATACACCTGATGATTCCATACACCATCATCACCATCATCATCATCATCATCATCATCACCATCATCACCATCATCACCATCATCATCATCATCATCGTCACTCACTATAACAATCTAATACCTATATCAGTCTTACAGGAAACATATCATTAACATCCCAAAGTAAGACCAACAGCTATACATACACTTCCTTATATATTAAAGATATAAATATATAAATAAAATAACAAAAGCATTTCCAGAGTTTCTTTTTTTCTTTGGCGTAAAAACTTAAATGTTTCAGCTTGTTGACGGGGCAGAGGACCACCCGCCAGGCCTCGTACAAACAACTACTGTATCTGTGTTACATTATAAAAGCACAGTCTTATCAACTACCAATATTTCTATGTCTTACCATCCCCTCATGACAGTCAGGGATGGTACAGTCACTCGGGCACCACATGAGGAATGAAGTAACTGTCTGAGAGCAGCACCATGACCATCAGTAGACAGGAGCATGACTGGTAGTGACCACAGCTGACGGGGACCAATCACGTGGGAGGATGGTCAGCTAACAACAATATAGCTGTCAGTAAACAGTCAGCTAGTCAACACCGCAGATAGTCAGGCCTTGAGTCAGTCAGACAGAGAGACAGTCGACACAGGAGGAGCACCTACAGCTGCTTCGCCTCCTCCCTGATGAGATAGGCACTCCAGTAGGCGACGTTGAAGAGAGCGAACACCAGCGGGAAGGTGATCCTGGCCACCACGTCGATGCGTTTGCTCCTGGTGGGGAACTTGGAGAGCCACGAGCGGCAGCAGTTAGTGTGTGGACCCTGAAGGTGAACCTCACACAGGTGGTTGACGCCGCTCCCGTCTCTGAATGGCGGCACCAACGGTCTCTGAAGAAGGAGGAGGAGATTAAGTTACAGAGGAATCGCCTGAGGGAGAGAGTCATGCTGTAATGTGACCTGAAATCTTGGCTATTATTGATCATCAGTGACCAGTAATATTAACCACCAACCTTCACTAAACTCTAAAATAAACAACAATATTCCATAACAAAACACCAACACAACTAGACTATTAATACGAACCATAGCGAAGGCCGGAACACCGTTTTCCATCTAAAAAAAATTCAAAATACACATTAAAATAGTTCTTCCCTTATTACCATACACACTTCTCTTCAACCAATAATAACACAGATAACACCACGAACTACAACCACCACCTCACTCACCCTATCTCTCACCATACTGGGATACTCGACCATATGGTTGTCATTATCAGCGGCGTAATGGTTGTGATGATACTCGAAGCGGTGATTATGGGAGTCATGGGAGTGATGGGAGGACTCATGGTGGGGTTCATGGTCGGAGGTGGAGGGCAGCATGGAGGTCGCTGCTTCGAAGGCCGCCTGGTTCTCCATGTCCCAGCGCCTTTGATGTTGTTTCTTGACCTTTTCTCTTTGTATATCTGACCGGGAGGCGTAGTTGACGAGGGCGAACTCCAGCAGCGCCCCGAACACGAAGGTGAGACACACGCCGGTCCACACGTCGATGGCCTGTGTGAGGGACGGGGAGTGTTCAGGGCTGAGTTAATGGAGAGAGAGAGAGAGAGAGAGAGAGAGAGAGAGAGAGAGAGAGAGAGAGAGAGAGAGGATATTTGTCAGTCACTACACCTGTTCACACTGACAACTCCTCCTCCTCCTCTTATTCTTCTTCTTCTTCCTCCTCCTCCTCCTCTTATTCTTCTTCCTCCTCCCTATTGTAAGTCCATATGCCACGAGAAGCAAGAATAACCCCTTGTTTACCTTGGTATAAGACACAGGAGGCAGACTCTGGTTGATGCCAGCGTTCTGTGTGGACATAGTGAGCAGCGTGGTGACTCCCAGGGCGACACGGGCCGGCACAGCGTATTGGTCGAGCCAGAAGGACACCCAAGACACTATCACCAACATGCAGCAGGGTATGTAGTACTGGATGAGGTAGTACGAGAACTCTCTCTTGAAGATCAGGTTCACCTTTAGGCAGCTGTACTCTCCTGTAGGTGAAATAGGTGACGTTTAGATATCAGGTAAACTCAATACAGTATAGGTGAATTAAAAAGAACTATAGGTGGGCGAGTGGATAGGGTGCTCGTGTCCTATCCTAAGCGTCCCTTACTTACGCCCGGGGCAACCCTAGTCGGCACAGCTGTTAATGGGCCCCTCACATTAGTTGGCAGGTGAAGGTGGTGGAGTGTAGTGGCGGCCATATTGTCTCTTGTTTTCACTGAGGACTATTCACCGTCTCTACACAACACAGTGACGGTCCATTAAGCCTCTGGCCAGGTGTATACAGGTAGGTGGATAATAGGAGATGGTACTGTGTGTGTGCGTGTGCGTGTGTGTATGTATGTATGTTGTGTGTATGTGTGTGTGTGTGTGTGTGTAGGTTTACCATTAGACCTTCCTAACCTAACCACACACAACACTACCTCACCTGTGTTGGTCTTGCTGTTACAATACTCGGTAACGAAGTGCTCGAGGGTGAAGCGTGGCAGGTGAAGGTTCTTGGTGACCTGGATGGGTTCCTCCTTCTCCCACAGGAACACCAAGTCCTCCGTTGTCCAGCCATCTGCCGGAAGTTTAATCTTTGTGAGTCGGACTTAATGGGAGTGGTATTAGACTAACTGCCTCTGTAACCTGAAGACATATGTATGATGGTACTTATTAAATTAACCTTTTTTACATTTACAGATGAGTTTTAACATGGAAAAACAAACCTTCAACAGATCTCTAGTACAAACAAAGAAACAAACAAAAAATCATATTGTTGTTTCAGGATTAAGTGGTGAAAATCTCTCCTATGTGAACCTGATATAGTGGTGGTGTTGTAGTCTAGAGCAAATACCTCCGGGTTATGTTGTTGACAGGTGTTGTAAATCAATGACCACACAGTCGCCACTACCTACCTACCTGCCTGCTTATACCTTCCCCCCCCCCCCTCCCCTCCCCTCCCTCTCTCCCCTCTTGGAGTTGACACGTCATTCATCACACGAACACTACCATTGGTGGAGAGAGAGAGAGAGAGAGAGAGAGAGAGAGAGATACACCTGCACAAAGAAAGACAGAGTGAAAATGCAATATAAAGAGACAGACAAAGAGAAAGGAAGAGAAAAAAAGAGAGAAAGTGAAAGACACACTCACGAGGTACTCACAGGAAGCCATCAGCAGCTCACACACTTGGGTATCCAGAGGGTATAACTTGAGGTCCATCGGGCAGGACAGAGTCAGGGAGATCCTGTGACGGAGGTAAAGACAAGACACTTAACTAATGTATCACCTCGAGCCATAAAGTCCACCACAGCCTCGCTAAATGGCTCACTATCAGGGTAAGTCCAACATGTTACCTATCTCACCAGAGGTATAAATCCCTCACTAGAGCTACTAATCCCTCCTAAGTCAATAAATCCCTCCTGGCCTAAAAAATCCCTCTTAAACCAATAAATCCCTCCTGTGAGCCAATAAATCCCCCATTAGAGCTATTAATCCCTCCCCTTAAGCCAATAAATCCCTCCTGATCCCATAAATCGCCACAAGTGCCTCACCTGATGCTGTAAAGGACGTCGCCGTTGGGGTAGATCCTGATGTAGGTGTTGGGGAGAATGATGTCGTGGAAGTGTCCAGTCTTCTCGTTCTTGAAGAAAAGGTCCGGCATCCAGATCTTGTCCGTCTCTGTGAGTGTTAGGTACTTGATGCGACCTGTTGGAGGAGGAGGTGGAGTGTTAGTGTGAGGTTAGGTTAAGTTAGGTTAGGTCTATCGAGGATAACTTTACGTCTTTAGTTAATGGTCTCTCTCTCTCTCTCTCTCTCTCTCTCTCTCTCTCTCTCTCTCGGGATGAAGAACCATCAGTACTGTGTGTTACCTAAAGACTGCAACTCACAAGGGACACAGAGGCGTATATTAGACCTGTGAGGGATGTGGGGTGTAGTGGGGGCGTGGGGTGGTGGGGGTGTGGTGGGGTGTAGTGGGGGGTGTGTGGGGTGTGTGGGGGTGTGTGGGGGTGTGGGGGTGTGTGGGGGTGTGTGTGGGGGTGTGTGGGGGGTGGTGGGGGTGTGTGGGGGTGTGTGGTGGTGGGGGGTGGTGGGGTGGTGGGGTGTGTGTGTGGGGGGTGGTGGGGTGTAGTGGGGAGTGACTCTGTGTGTGGAGGGAGATAATAGTAAGTCCGGGTGTATATTTCATAGGAGGGAGGGAGGGAGGGAGGGAGGGAGGAGGGAGGAGAGAGAGAGAGAGAGAGAGAGAGTATATGGCTAAATCACGAATTAGAAAGTTATTAAAAAGTTAAGTAGATCAGTTAGCCTCAGGAGAGAGTTAAACTGAGTTATTGAAAGTCTTATCTACCAGTTCAGTCAGCCTTAGCTAAACCAGATCACTCGTACCGTCATTAAACTAAACTATATTACGGTAATCTTCATCAGCGGTTTATCTATACTGTCTGTATGTCTGTACTGTCTATACACACTGTCTGTATACCTGTACTGTCTATACACACTGTCTGTATACCTGTACTGTCTATACACACTGTCTGTATACCTGTACTGTCTATACACACTGTCTGTATACCTGTACTGTCTATACACACTGTCTGTATACCTGTACTGTCTATACACACTGTCTGTATACCTGTACTGTCTATACACACTGTCTGTATACCTGTACTGTCTATACACACTGTCTGTATACCTGTACTGTCTATACACACTGTCTGTATACCTGTACTGTCTATACACACTGTCTGTATACCTGTACTGTCTATGTACGCTTAAACACCTTAATTGTTGTTGAAGCGAAGTAAAAACCGATGTCTTTTGTTTTTCTTCATATCTTCATTTCCGACCGAACCAAACATTCTATATATATATACAGCATATCTACTAACTTTCCGCCGTGTCTGTCTGTCTGTGTCTCTTAAGATAATGAACAGGCGCTGAATGAACCAGGGGGTGTCATACTGTCAATCACTCATACACAATAGAGTCCTGGCGTCTATACCCAAGATGGCGGACGACTGCGTTGCTAAACGTGACATAATGTAACCCCCCCCCATTGTGAGATAAAGAGAGAAAGGAAGGAGAAAGAGAGAAATAGGGATAGATAGAGAGATGGAGGAGGGAGAGAGAAGAGGAAAGAAGAGAGATAAAGTGGGATAGAGAAAGAAAGACGGGTGAAGAGAGAGGGAAACAGAGAGAGAGAGACGCGGAGGGGGAGTGAACAGAGAGAGAGAGAGAGAGAGAGGAGAGAGAGAGAGGGGAGGGGGGTGAGAGAGAGACACCCACAGGTCTCCTTTTGTCTCGTTTTTTTTCTGGAGACTTTACAGTGACCGTTTCCCATTATTTATTGTCACCATAACACTAAGACACGTGAGGAATTAATACATACAGTGTTGTGTTGTGTTGTGTTGTGTTGTGTTGTTATGCTGTAGTGTTATGTTGTGTTGGCCTCCTGTGTTATGCTGTTCCATTATACATCATCATGCTGTGTTAACATATGCTGTGCTACGCTGCCGTGTCTTCTATCACCTGATGCTGTGCTAAGCTTGTGTGTTAAGCTGTGTTATGCCCTTCACCCCCCCCCCCCTTGTACCGGGAGGCCCCCACCAGTACAATTACTCTTGACCTCAGCCTATCAAAGGTCACGTCTTTGTGCTGCAGAACGAAACGACTTCCTAATTGACCAAGGCTGACTGGTGGATGACTGATGGATGTGTGGGTGGATATGTGGGTGGATGACTGACGGATGAATGGGTGGATGGCTGGTGGATAAGTGGGTGGATGACGAGCTGGATGAGTGATGGATGTGTGGGTGGATGACTGCTAAATATAAGGTTAAATGGATGAGTGGATGACCCTCAATCTCATATCCCTTAACCAAAATTTTTGAACCAGAAATTTAAAGAAAAGCTCAAGAATTTTTGTTTTTCTTTCAAATTTATAATAAAAAATAATTACTCTTTTTTTTTCAATGCCTTTTTTCCCAATGTAAACAAAAAGCTTGATTGGTTTGTGGTAGTGTAACAACAACAGACTCTCTCTCTCTCTCTCTCTCTCTCTCTCTCTCTCTGAAGGAAGAAAGTTGCTTATTTTGGGGGTAAAACAACAATAACAAAAACAATAACAACAATAACAAAAATAATCACAAACAATAACAAAAACAAAAACAACAATAATAACAGCAATCACAACAATAACGAAAACAATCACAACAATAACAAAAACAAACAATAACAATAACAACAATAATAAAACAAAAACAACAACACTAACAGCAACAATAACAACGGCACCATTAAACATCTGTTGAGAGGAATTTTTCACAACGGTTGGAGGAGAAAAAAAACACTTCAATTCGTCTTGTTTGTTGTTTTAACGTAACAAAGGGAATTGTGTCGAGGTAAAACTGGTGACTACAATAGTTCCTTGTCACCTGTACTTAGTCACACACTGTCACACACTGCCACACACTCTCACATACTCACGCACACTCTCACACACTCTCTCACTTAGTCTCATTCACTCGCACTAGCTTTCACTCAGCCACACGCTCTCTCATTCACTCTCACATACTTTCACTCTCTCACACACTGCTCAGTAAGTTTATATACACACTTTTACACGTATACACACACAATAAAGTTCATTAAACCAGTACAATAAGCCTCGACGGTGAAGCCTTATAGTAGTGAACCAGAAAAGCTTTATTAATGAAGATATTAATTGAACTTTATTTGTCGTTTAATCTTCTTATGTATGTGTTGGGTAGAGAGGTGAGGGGAGGTGAGGGGAGGTGAGGGGTGGTGAGAGAGAGAGATTTAGTTGTTTTTGTCAGTCTGCGAGTACAACAACACTCCGCTCTCAGTACGAAGGCTACCCCACGTCCCTCCCTGACAGTAACTCACGACACTATCTCATAACAGCCTCTCATGACAGTCATACATCTCCCAGTATATGCACCACCACTGATATACATAATACAACCGTTTCTGTCGTTATACACTGCGGAGAACTTATTATTTACCAACGAAGGATAACTCTCCTCCAAGTAAAACAATGTCCGAAGGCGCTTTTTTCATCTCTACTAAATTCTACGACAAGTCATAAGTATAACAATTCTCAATAACGTACGATAATTTTGAGACTATGGAAGTAGTCTTGTTTACTCTTGTACGATAACTCTTCAAAATACAAGACCCTCTTACCTCCCTCGCTGCTGTAGTTGAGTCGGTCATCATTCCATTGTTCTCGGAAGGTCATCTGAACACTGTACTCCTGTGGGTGAAAGAGGAAATATTAATACAAACGATGATAATAAATGAATAAATACGGATAAAAGAGAAATATATGATATTAGTGTTATTACCTCTCTCTAGTATACACCTCATCCCTTCATATAAGAGACAAACAAAAACTAATTTAGTAACTTTTAACAACAGAACCATATGTGTTGTCATTCATAATAAACAAAGTTACAAGTTTGTGAGCCCCGGGTGACGTATATTTGTTTTATACAATAGCGGGTTATCGTGGGTATCGTACGAGGCTTTAGCAAATAACTGGACCGACAATTGCTGGAGGGCTATAGCGAATATTAATCTTTTCCTCAACTTTTACTTTAATAAAATAAAATACATAATATTAAGACTTTGGGGGGGAGGGTCCTGATTGACCTACAAAATACGAAGATATTTATTGTGAAGTTAGTTTTATTTCTTTTTTTCTTCCTTCAAAATTTATAAAAGATTCTTTAGTGAGATTAAAGTGACACTTATTTGGACGTCTCTCTCTCTCTCTCTCTCTCTCTCTCTCTCTCTCTCTCTCTCTCTCTCTCAGTACTCACCATGTGGTAGTCATCAATCTTGTTAATAGATCGGATCATTATATTAATCTGCACTGTGGTGAAGTCTTCGTCCTTAACTGTGGGAGAAAAGGTCATCACAGGTCAATATGAGGTCATTACAGGTCAATATGAGGTCATTACAAGGTCATCACAGGTCAATATAAGCCATGAAGTCAATTTTGCGTCACTAGAAGGTCAATATAAGCTATGACGTCACCCCAAATCACTACAATAAGTTAAATAAAAGTTATTATATCATAGAAGAGGTGAGTGAGGGAGGCAAGGGTCAGAGGAGGCGAGGATATGCTAATTACAGTGTTTAATTAGCCTGCAGTGACATCATTAGTGTCCCTCTGCCTCTGATGTAATGCTGATTTTTATAATGCTGAGCTGTGAGGCGTCTTGTGTCTGTGTTATAAATAGACAGACAGACATATACAGACAGACAGGCAGACATACAAACAGACACACACACAAAAAATCAACCTAAAAATAACAATGATTGGTTAATGTGTGTGTGTGTGTGTGTGTGTGTGTGTGTGTGTGTGTGTGTGTGTGTGTGTGTGTGTGTTATGGCAAGTAAATAGAGCACCTGAAGATTAACCACCCTAACACTATTTGTGGGGTTAGGTTAGGTTAGAATAGTGTTAGGTCAGGTTAGGTTAGGTTAGGATAGTGTTAGGTTAGGTTATGTATTTTCCAGGTGATGGTACAATGGCGCCACCACAACACTTGTTTACGAAAAAAATTACCTAATTATACGGGTTAATAGAGGCGATAATTAACAACACTTTACCTGGCCCTCAGTCAACACAGGTTCATTAAAATGAGGTTAATTGGATCACGTGAAGATTAACCACCCTAATGATATACTAATCTAATTTAACTTAACCTAACCTAATACTAACATAACCAACCTAACCTATCTATCCTCGCCTAATCTGTCCTAACCTAACATAAATTAACACTAACACTACACTACACTACACTAACCTAACACTACACTACACTACACTACACTACACTAACCTAACCTAGCCTTGTGGCAACTCTTTTAGCCTACACTCAGGTAATTTTAGGTACACAGGTGTTAAAATTCTACCTTTGTCTTATATGCAAATTCTGACCATCAGTTCTTGTTTATAATATAAATTTGACAACATGACTCGACAGGTGTGAACTTAGACAGGTAACTCACTCTTAAGTAACTCCCAATGCTTTTTTAACTCTTGACACACTCTTAAACAACTCTTAATTCTTATTGTCAATTGATAAATAAGACAATAACTCAGATAAGGAGATGGACCAATCAGAGAGCATCGTGCCCGGAAACGCGTGGGTGCCGTCAAATTTCCTCTATGGGCGTTACCAAGTTAGCGATCATTCACGAGATTACTCACTAACTTGGTACCACTGGGAGCTTCTACCTTATGTACTGTAGTTTAATTAAGGAGCTATGTAGCGTGAGTGTTGTAGAGCTAAAACAGAGCTATGTAAAGTGTGTGTTGGAAAGCTAAAACAGAGCTATGTAGAGTGAGTGTTGTATAGAACTAAAACAGCTATATAGCATAAAAACATCGCCCCTGTAGAGCTAAACTACAGCTACAAAACAGTATAGCTCTTGGGAATCACCGCAATAAACCGAACCTTTGTGTGTGTGTGTGTGTGTGTGTGTGTGTGTGTGTGAAAGCTTTGAAAGATTTTTACATAAGAAATCTAGTTTGGTGATGTGAAAATGGTGTCTGTAATTCAAAATGACGGCAGATATCAAGATGGCCGCCTAAATAAAAATGGCCGTCAAAACTATAAAAAAATCCAACATGGCCGCCAGTATATTCCAAAACAAAATTAAATCGAGTCATATAAGTCGAAAATAATAGTCAATTTTTCATCCACACAATATATACAAAAGGACAAAAATATTCATAAAATTTTAATTAAAGAACCAGGATTTTAAATCATTTATTGGCTATATTTTAAAATGTGGATATTTCTTTTCTATGACCTTGTATTGTAAATTATATATATATATATATATATATATATATAACTGTTAGACTGATATAAAATGTATATATTCATATTATTAATCTACAATTTAACTCTTCATTTCCAGGTGATGAAAGAGAGATACTCGGTTATTTCTAATTTATATGCATTAAAATATTTGATATTATATTGTAGTTTTTTTTTATAGTAAAAGGCTGAAGAAATATATTTTAGCTGAGGGGAGTTACGGGTCACACACACACACACACACACACACACAAGCATACTCAATACGCTGATATATAGGAGTTGATCATCAAATAATTTCATAAGGGAAACAATAACAAAACAGATATTTGACCCAAGTTAAGTATACTGGTGACCATGATCTTCCTCCTCCCCTCCTCCCTCCTCCTTCCTTCCTCCTACCCCTATATCCCTCCTCCCTTCCTCCCCCTCCCTTCCCTCCTCCCTCCCTATACCTCTATACCCCTCCCTCCCTCCCCCCCACCCTCTATACTCCCTTCCTCCCTCACCTCCTATACTGGAGGGCCTGATCTTCCTGTCATGGTGTGTTCCCCAGTATCTCGTCCAGTAACATCTTCTCTCTCGTCTGTGTGGACCCTGTGGGGCCTCCGTCGTTGGCACCATCCACCGCCCATGGTGCCTGTGTAGGGGAGAACGTGTGGGCGTAGTGGTGGTGTTAGGGGTGGGTGTGGAGGTGGGGAGTGTGTGGCGTAGAGTTTGGAGAAGGAAGAGAGGAAAAAGAGGAATGAAAATGAAGAGAGAGAGAGAGAGAGAGGTGCATCAACATAACCTTAATCTGAATAACTAGATTATGTATGCATAAAAGACACAACGACATATCTCTCTCTCTCTCAGTGTGTGTGTGTGTGCTTATTATGAGTAAATATATATAGTAAAGTATAAAATACATTGATATTAGTAAACAAAAAAAAAAAAAAAAATAAATAAAAAAACAATAGTATTTTTAATAGTATATCATATGGTGGTTGTGGGACTTGTATAGGTGGGAGACTATGGTTGGGAGACTATCGTGGGAGACTAGGTGGGGACTATGGTAGGTGGGGAGACTATGGTAGGTGGGATGGTAGGTGGGGGAGACTATGGTGGGTGGGGAGACTATGGTGAGTGGGGAGACTATGGTGGTAGGTGGGGTGAGACGACTATGGTAGGTGGGTCTTCCTCCATCCACCTGTTATCAAAAGCTGAAGTCAAACAACAAACTGAATATGACTGAGCCTGAGGGAGGAATGGTTGTGTGGTTGTGATGCTGTGTTTGGAATGAAGCTCAGGATACCGGGGAAGCGGCAGTAGGTTGTTGTTGTGTTGTTGTTGTTGTTGGTGGTGGTGGTGATGGTGGTGGTGATGGTGTTGTTTATTTCACTTGATGATTAAGTTAAACACACACACACACACACACACACACACACACACACACACATCTAAAACAGAATAAATAAAAGAACATTCCATTATCTCAAATAGTTCAAACTCACCTTCAAACCCCCTTCCTCCTCCCCTCCACCCTCCTCCTCCCCCTCCCCCCTCCTCCCTCTCTTCTTCCCCTCACACCCCTCCCACCCCTCCCCCCTCACACCTCTTCCCTCCCCCTCCCCTCACACCCTCTTCCCCTCCTCCCCCTCCCCCACCCCTTCCTCCCCCTCCCCCACACTCTCCCCTCACACCTCTTCCCCTCCCTCACACCCCCTCCCCTCTTCCCTCCCCCTCCCCACCTCTTCCCCTCCCCTCCCCTTCCTCCTCCCTCCCCCTCCACCTCTTCCCCTCCCCACCTCCCCTCCCTCCCCTTCCCTACCTCTTCCCTCACCTCTTCCTCCAAACACTTCATCAATTACACACATTTTTTTACTTTGATCTCAACAAAATTCAAAAGTGTCTCCAGCAAAGGGGGGGGTGGAGTGAGAGGTGGGGGGAGTGTGTGACCAGATATTAATGATCCTGACAGTGTTACTATATAGTAGATCAAGTGTTTATACTGTAAGAGTCAGTATAGTTGTATTATATGAGGTTATATACTGAGTTATAGGTGTGATACAGTATACTTGGTGATATAGGGATTATACTGTATATATTAGGGTATATGACGGTATATAAGGTGGGTATAGTGTTACAGGAGAAGAAAGGAGGAGGAGGAGGAAAGGAAGGAAGAAGAAGGAGGAGGAGGAGAAGAAAGGAAGGGAGGAGGAGAAGAAAGAAAATTGAGAGAAGGGAATAAATGGAGAGAAATAAATAAAATAATAATGAAGATAAGAGAGAGATAAATAGGGAGAAATGAAAGACAGTAAGAGAGAGACAAAGAGAGAGACAGTGAGGAGAGAGAGAGAGAGAGAGAGAGAGAGAGAGAGACTGCAAAGGCGTTTGGGGGAAAATGACTATTTTATGAGCACCACTATATTCACCTCTCCCTCACCCCTCCTCACCCCTCCTCCTCTCACCTCTCCTCTCCCTCCCTCTCCCCTCAGAAGGTGTATGGCTGAATATACAATCCTGCTGTATACACTCCCTCAGTTATACACACACACACACACACACACACACTGTTAGTTCCCGTTATATACACGCGTTCTTAAGCTTCCGTTATACACATGGTGGTGAGAGAGAGAGAGAGAGAGAGAGAGAGAGACAGAGAGAGAGAGAGAGAGAGAAAGAGTCCTACACTACTGCTGAACACTTACCCGTAACTGTACTGAGTTCTGAAATAGAGAGAAGAGCTATGTTGAATATACACCCATCACCTGTTGTGTGTATGTTTGTGTATGTCTGTATGTGTGTATGATATTTGTAAATTTGTACGTGTCTATGTGTGCATAAATGTGTGTGTGTGTGTGTATAGATGTGTGTGTATGTGTGTGTACATATGTGTATTTGTATGCATAGGTGAGTGGAAAATACTTGTTTAAATATACATAGCTTTATACAGGACATACAAACGTAAGTATTGGCGAATATATACATAAGACACCTATATGTGTATGTATATATGTATTAAAATCTATACATGTATGATTAAATACACAGAATACATATATAATCCTGCATATA